AATCTGCACAAAGTACATTTGAAAATTAGAAGTAATAAAAACAAATTATGAATGTGTGGTATGAAGTTTTCATATGCAGTTTTAATGCGCCTTTCTAGTAATAAAAATATTTTGTGGACATCACCCTGGTTCCCTCAAAAAAACTCCGGATTTTTCCTTTTTTATTTATTTATTTATTTATTATATTTATTATTATTACAGAAAATAAGCAGAAAATGTGTCCAACAAAAGTTCATCATGATGATCATTTATGAATTTTGAAGCTTAAATACAATCGTCAGAAGTAGAAATCCAAGCATAGGCTGTAAACAAAATATGCCAGTGCTTCTAAAAATTCTTTCAGTCTTTTTTTTTAAACATTTTCCCTGAAAGTTTGAGTTACAGTAATTTACAAGAGCGCGGATATGAACGGCGAGGCTGTCAAAGCGACTAGCGAGTAGATGAGTTTACCTGTTCAGCGTGATGATGTTTAATGACAGTCTCTGTAGTCACATTTAGCCACTTGTTAGTAACTGCCTTTTTCAAGACAGGTAAAAGCTTTAAAAAGAGTTACAGTTAGGATGTTTTTATATGGTGGAATCTATTTTATATGGTGGAATAAAACGTGAAAATATCTTGAGCTTGTGTTCAACACATACATTATTTCAGGCATTCAACCAAAATCCCATTCAGAAAACCAATTGTCTAAATGACAATGAATCCGGAAGAGCTAAAAAGTGGACTCACTTTTGGGTTTTTGGCCTACAAATATACATCATCCCTGCAATGCTCTATTGACTTGAGCCTGTAACAATCACCCAGAACGTCTTAGCAACCATCTATCAACACTCTAGCAACTTTCTTTCATTTTCAATATCAAGTTATAATCAATGTTGAGTTATTTCAGTGCGTGAAAAAGCGGAGCAGGTGTGGGCACTTCTCTGTCTGTCTGTGGCTAATGGAAACAGAAAGGATGTGTTCCCCAAGAGTTCATTGAGATTCGATCTGTGTGCCAGAGTTCCCTTGAATTTGTAGTACTCCCTGGGGTGTCTCCTCTAATGGCTGGTGAGTCATACTGTGGTACAGGCATTATATTACTGTGAGTTTGCCAGCTCAATGCTCTCTCATCATTCACAAAACACGCACACAGTCATCCGAACCGATGGTGCAACACCACATTACCCACATCTACAGCACCCGTACAAGCCACACACACCTCATATAAATAATTACTACCCGAACTGAACAGGTTGTAATTAATTTGTGATTTTTTTTTTTTTTGGAAAAGCTTTAATGATGGCCAGAGGATGAAGTCGTCTTTGTTCAATTCAAACAGTAATAAACCCTCCATGGCATATGTCATGAGTCATCTGCAATAAATCTGCACAGATAATGTAGCTATAATGTAGTTATTAAAAATCTCTCTTCTGACTGTCCCCTCCTGCCACAGCTCAGTCTATTTCTGTCTCCGTCTGCAGTAGATGAACAGTCTGCGAGTGTGTGACTGTAAGTCTAGACTGAGTCCCTCGAACTCTTGCACAGTCAAACAGAGAATTACCGAATGGTGACGAGAGCTTCAGGTAGAAATAGACTTTATGAAAGGTCACAGTTTGCCTCTTTAAAGTCCGCGTGAAACTAAATGGATCATATTTACTTTTTTAAATGGATTGTCCTACCAAAAATATATAATTTACTCAACCTCATATCATTCCAAATCAGTATTACCTACTTCGTAAGGTGAAATTCAAAAGAAGAAATTGAAAAGAATGTGCTGATCGCTCCTTTCCATGCAGTTGTATTTATTACAGACTATTGTAGATATTAAAGCCTCCAAAACAACACAGAAACACTATAAAAGTGGTCAGTAAGATTTTTCTGAAAGAAATTAATTCAACAAGGATGCATTAAATCAACTGAAAGTGATAGTAAAGACATTTATAATCTTACCAAAGATTATTATTTCAAATAAATGCTATTATTTTGAACTTTCTATTCATCAAAGAATCCTGATTTCCACTCAAATATTAAGCAGCACAACTGTTTTCAGCATTGATAATAATCAGAAATGTTTCTTGAGCAGCAAATCAGTATATTAGAATGATTTCTGAAGGATCATGTGACACTGAAGACTGAAGTTATGATGCTGAAAATTCAGCTTTGTATCACAGGAATAAATTACATTTTAAAATATATTACAATAGAAGACAGTTACTTTAAATTGTAATAATATTTCACAATATTACTGTTTTTACTGGGTTTTTCACCAAATTAAATGCAGCATTGGCGCGAACATGAAAAATTAAAAACGAATTACATTAAAAAAACATTACTGACCTCAAATTTTTGAACAGCAGTGTACATATATTCAAATGCAAAGCCGTTATTTTAAATAAAAGAGTTAATCTTAAATTATAATAATATTTTACAATATTACTGTTTTTACTGTGTTTTGACCAAATTAAATGCAGCATTGGTGAGAACATTAAAAAAAAAAACATTAACCGACCGACCCCAAATTTTTGAACAGTAATGTACATATATTCAAATACAATAAAAGTATTTTAAATAAAATAGTTCATCTTAAATTATAATAATATTTTACAATATTACTGTTTTTACTGTGTTTTGACCAAATTAAATGCAGCATTGGTGAGAACATAAAAACAAACATTAACCGACCGACCCCAAATTTTTGAACAGTAATATACATATATTCAAATACAATAAAAGTATTTTAAATAAAAGAGTTCATCTTAAATTGTAATAATATTTCACAATATTACTGTTTTTACTGTGTTTTTGATCAAATAAATACATCCTTGGTGAGCGTAAGAGACTTTAACATTAAAAAACATTAAAAAACATTTAAGTGACCACAAATATTTCTTTTCAATAAATCAGTTTATCCGGTTCACATTTGTCATTGCATATCCTGTTTCACTCAAATATGCCACATTATGGAAGTGAAATGGGTTGCAAATGTTGATTTTAATGTACATTAATTGATTTGATTGCATTTTATGAGCACAAACCCAATATAACCCTATACTGCACTAACAGTTTGAGTGTTTTTCAAATGTTAATTGTCCATATTAATAATTCAACAGTAAAAACACAACTGTCACACTTTGACAGAACACAGTATGCTAATTAAAAAGTTTGGACAGAATAGACTGAACTCTGTTTCAGAGTCTGAGGTTAGGGTCAGAGTTTCACTATTTTGTCATTGACTCATAGAAGAGTCCGTCTTTCAGTTCTTCTTTGTGTTTAATCCAGCTTTAAATGTGCAAGCGAATATGCCTTGTCTGTTCTTTTCCACCGTGTCTCAGTAGACAGTCCTCTTCTTCATCAGCTAGTGAATGAGCCGTGAACTGTCATTATGTTTCCACAGACCATGGAGGAACACATGGCCTTCATCATGACTGTGCCCACAACTCTGGCCATTTTTCTCACCATCTTCATCCTCGTCTGCATTGAGTCGGTCTTCAAAAAGCTTCTCCGCCTCTTCTCCCTGCTCATCTGGGGCTGTCTGGTTGCCATGGGTTACCTCTTCATGTTCTTCGGTGGGATCATCTGTCCATGGGACCAGGTGAGACTTGAGTGACAGCACTTTCATCACTCTCCATTTCTGTGCAATTGTTCTTCAGTGACTGCCTTCGACCTCTACGGCTATCACTTTTTAATGTACCTTTTTATCACACCGAAGTGCTCAGAATTAAGTATTCGGCATGCATAAAACACGACTTGCGTCAGTGCGATTTATATATGTAGATGTGCAAGTAAATTACTCTGATGGAAAGCGCTGCACAATCATGCAGATATTCACTAACGCGGTGTCATTTTCCTTCAGTCATTTGCACAGTAATTCATGAATTTTAGTGTGCGAGCTGTTCTGCGCACTGAATCATTCTCATTGAACTCCGCTTAACACATGATTCTGGCTAATGACTGTGACACAGTCTCAACATAAATGCATGTCTTAGAGTAATTATGACAATTTGCGTTATTTCTGTCCGCCTCTGCATCCATAAAACGAATCTGGTATTAAAGGAACACTCCAATTTTAACTCTAGGGGAGTTGGAAAATGAGCCTATTTTCAAAAATAGTGGAGTGTTCCTTTAAACCGACTTGCTTGGCTTGTTCGCACACTTTGTTTTTTTTTCTTCCCGCTCTGCGAGGAGGAGGTGCAATCAGCCCAGCCACCACTCAGCAAGATGGCAAAAACATCCGCGCTTTGGTCGTCTTTTATAAACAGCTCTTGATTTATGATATTACACTGACTGTAGGAGGAGAGATCGGCTGTTCCGTGCACGAGTAAATGTAGCTCGCCCGTGAGTCATCCAGGCTGTTTGCTTGACATGACTTAATAACTTAATAACTCGGATGCGCTCAGTGATCTGGAAATGATGAGATATGCATATACGACACAAATTGGCTCTGTATCAAAGGGCGGCAACATTTTACTAGGAACTGCTTCAGTAAAAGCTAGGTGGCACCTACATGACATCCATTTTAAACAATTAGCCATAAATATCCCACTATTCTGGAGAGGTTTCTCCATCAGAAGTGAGGTTATGAATACCATATTGATGAGTGGCCCAAAGTTGTAGTTGCATTATTTGATTGTACTTCCTCAATATAATTTTTTTTTCAATTGTGTTTTCTTTTCTTTGCCTTTGTTTTATTTTTGTCCTGATTTGCTTTGCTTTTGTTGTTTTGTTTTGTTTTTTTGTTTTTTTGCTTTGCTTTCTTTGCTTTTCATTTTTGTTTTTTTATGTTCTGTTCTGTTTTGCTTTGCTTTTATTTTTTGTTTTTTTTTTGCTCTGTTTCTTTGCTTTGCGTTGTTTTTGAGTTTTGCTTTTGTTTGTGTTTTGCTTTGCTTTTATTTTTTGTTTTTTTTTTGCTCTTTTTCTTTGCTTTGCGTTGTTTTTGAGTTTTGCTTTTGTTTGTGTTTTGCTTTGCTTTTGTTTTTTTGCTCTGTTTTGCATTGCATTGTGTTTCATTGCTTTTGGGTTGCTTTGTTTTTCGCTCTATTTTGCTTTGAGCTTTTTGTTTTGTTTTAGTTTTTTGCTGTTTGCTTTGCATTGCATTGTGTTTCATTGCTTTTGGGTTGCTTTGTTTTTCGCTCTATTTTGCTTTGAGCTTTTTGTTTTGTTTTAGTTTTTTGCTGTTTGCTTTGCATTGTTTATTGCTTTTGTTTTGCTAGGTTTTGCTTTGCTTAGTTTTTTTCTGTTTTGATTCGCTTTGCTTTGTGTTTCATTGCTTTTGTTGTGTTTGTTTTTTTAATGGCCTGTTTTAGAGGCACAGGGCTAAAGGGAGTAAATTACCTTTAACTCTGTTATGTGTTGGTCCATATTTAGATGAGCCACAGTTCAGTTTATGTATAGAAAATCTGGGCCATGCTAACCAGCTTAACCTTGAACCTTTATCTGCTCCAGGCTGGTTAGTGGTGTTTTGGTGCTGGTGTAGATTGTGGAGCATTACAGCCATGCTAAACGGTGCCAACTGGTGAAACTGTTCAACCTATGTTAAGAAGCTACAGTTGAGACATCAGCACACCAGCATCCAAGGCACCACATATGGTGGTGAGCAGCTACGCCGGTCTTTATATCAGTTCTCTGTCATATAAAGTACTCCCTAAGCTTGGTGCAGTCTGAGCTCGCATGCTGTGACTGAAGGTTTAGCTCTAGAGGGAACCAGTCGTCTGATGCAGGAAATTCAGAGAAGCCTTCTAATAAGTCTTTGCATACGTGACGGGAAGAACTAGTCGGGTTCAGGCGATCTGAATAAGCTACCACCTAATTAGCACTCAGAGTACTGCAGCAAAGTACTAATTAGCAAAGAGTATCTGGATGTGTCTTGAAGTAGCATATGTGCGCTTATTAGCGGAAGTGAATGGCACAGTAGCTGCGTCTACAGTAGTTGAAGACTTAAAGATCTCTATTAGGCTATGCCCTATTTAATTTCCTGTTTTTACTCTAGCCTTTTAAGCTACACACTGTGCTCTTAGTACAGTTTTCTCTGTGGTTATGCTATTTGACGGCCACATTGCTTGAGCTCTAACAAGCTGTATACTTGGAGTCGCTTTGCAACGCTTACAAGGAAAAACTCCCAACTATAGAGTCACCAGCATGGGTCAAGGTACTACTGCAGATGAAAAGCCCTCACTATTCCTCACAGATGTCTGTAATGCAGGCATCATTAACCCACAGCAGTAGTTCTCCATTAGAGATGCCCGTGAAAAGCCAGCAGCCTTTGTATGTTGTACAGGAGAGAGAACATAATTGAGCTCAGAGTCAGCAGAGGAACAAAAGGCAGCCGTACTCGCCTTACGCCAATCAGCCTGAGGGCAAATCAGAAGAAAAGACCTCCGAAAACACACACAGTCTTGTGAAGCCTCATTTCCTACAATTTGGTGTTGCCAGACGTGCCAATTGAATGCCTTATGAAGGATGTAAAAGAATGATGGGGAACTAATGAAGTGATGAGAGAGTGAAGGTGGCAGGCAGGTGAAGATTTCGAGTCACTTTTTTAATACTTTTTAAGGAAGAGGGCAAAGGAAAATGCCTTGTGTTGTTTCAGATAAGCTGAGTGAAATCTGTTAATCAATGGTGATTGCTCTAAGAGGGTGCGGGAAACACGTAGTGAGAAGTGGGAAGCTGCTTTTAGCAGCATTGCAGATAGTCACTGGGATAAAAAATATATGTGAACACACATTTTGTCGTTGATGGGTGGCATCTGTGCATCCCCTCATTTGAAAAGCACCAGCTGCCACTTTTGTCAGTCATGAATTAATGCAGTTAATGCGTTAAGGTTAATTCTGGTAGTATATTTTGGTTGTAACACTGTAAATGACACAAATAAAGTACACATTATAATTTTTCGCCTTTACTAATATTGGTACATTTAAGGTACTAATATATACCATTTAAGGGTAAATAAGATTTTTTTTTAAAGTTGTACCTTTTAGCTTTTGCACCTTAGGATACCATACCATTGACAGCTTTGCACTTTTTCTTAGAGTGCTAAATTTAGGTAAAATTCCTATTTAGTTATTATAAGTAAAACACAATGGTGATGAATGACAGTTTGGCCTAAATCAAAAAACTTCAAATAATATTAATAAAAGCATTTAATGTTTATTTATTTTTATTTATTTATTTATTGCATTTTCAGCTAAACAGCTTAAATATATCAGTTAAATTTATGAAATAATGTGAATAAGTTTGGTATGTTGTTATATACAGTATATCAATAGTATGTCAGTTTTATGTCATTAATGTAAATTTGCTGTTCTCTGTCATACCAGTTGTTTAATAATTGAAATGCTGTGTGCTAATTATCCTCAATTCACCCCGTTTATTTGAGTTTTTCCTGAGATCCATAAGTGTGATAGGACTGCATGTGATGATAACAAAGGCTTTCAGATTATCAGATTATTCCATTTCCATTTGCTTTCCTAATACAAAAGCAGTGCAGACTGGTTAACCAGACATTAGAATCCCAGTAGACCACATAATCTTATTCACTATGAAAAAGCAAACCTGTTAAGTGTGTCTTATGTATTTACTATCATCTGTTGCCTTAGCAACCCTTGAAGAATATGCTTTACATATGTTACAATCTAATTTTATGTGATGGTTTTATAGCAATAATATCTTAACACAATATTCTAGATCAATATAGCTATAACATCATGATAAAACTTAAAATTATATGTTAAAATTGCAATTTAAGGTAATGCGAGTAACAAATTATGTATTTACAAACTGTACTCATAAAATATGCAGGGATAACATATATATGCATATATACATCTGAATTTCTCATCATTCAGATTAATGAGAAATAACCCATAGCGCATCTGTTTGCATTTTAATTTGTAAAGTTTTTGTTATTTTGTTGTGTGTTTTTGTGCTTTTTATCAGTTCTTGTTTTTTAAAAAAGATGTCTATATAGGTTTTTATTAAATTTCGTTTTAGTTTTAGTTATTTTAGTACATCAAGTTAAACTAAATGAGAATTCTGAAGTGTATAGGGATATACTGTCTGCCCAGATTCAGTCAAATGCAGCAAAGTTGATTGGATGTCGCTTCATAGTACAAATGGACGATGACCCAAAACATACAGCAAAAGCAACCTAGGAGTTTTTGAAGGTAAAAAAGTGTAATATTCTGCAATAGCCAAGTCAGTCTCCTGATCTCAACCCGACTGAGCATGCATTTTACTTGCTGAAGACAAAACTATAGGCAGAAAGACCCACAAACACACAACAACTGAAGTCAGCTGCAGTAAAGGCCTGGCAAAGCATCACAAAGGAGGAAACCCAGTCTCTGGTGATGTCCATGAGTTCCAGACTTAGGGCAGTCATTGCCTGCAAAGGATTCTCAACAAAATATTAAAAATGAACATTTTATTTATGATTATATTTATTTGTCCAATTACATTTGAGCCCCTGAAATTGGGGGGGACTGTGTATAACAATGGTTGCAATTCCTAAGCATTTTATGTTATATTTTGTTCAACCCCTTTGAATTAAAGCTTAAAGTCTGCACTTCAATTTCATCTTGATTTTTTTTTTTTTTTCTGTTCTGTTCTGGTGGCATACAGAGCCGGAATTATGAAAATTGTGTCAGTGTGCAAATATATATGGACCTAACTAACTGTATGTTCACTTGATCTATCAGTGTAATGCTGTATCATGCTTGATTTCTTCATGACTCTAGTTCCCATACATGTACAGAGCCAGAGGTCAGACAAAGACAAAATATTTAGAATTCAGTGCCGTATAACCTGGTCTGATGTAGAATAAGACCACTGAATTGAACTGCCAGTCTTAATCCTGCTAGCCGATAGACCAGAACTTTAAGCAGGCATGGAACTGGCAAGTAATCCGTTCATTGGAGAGATTAAGCATTTAACCTTGCCAGTTCTTGAGACTGAACTCCAACACTTCAAAACTTTAGCGAAAACACAAACTATCTGTCCAATCCGAGGTGAAAGTGCGAGACGCCCCTCGGCCCGGAGCCCAGCGGAGCGTTCTGTCTACAAGGGGATTCTCTCTCCTTCACAAGCCAAATGTAACCATTCCTGACGGTTTCTCTGATCCTCCTCTGCGGCGGACAGAGTGGAAATGGCGATCGATAAGGCTCAAGAAAAATTACTGCCCTGCAATCTGTTTGTTTTTTGGCAGTGTGTGTGTGTGTGGTCTGTGAGGTTGACCAAGCCAGAAATCCATTAGGCTTTGCTGCTGTCCAGTGCCCTATCTGCCATTCCTCCAGTGCTATATTGAGCCCTCGCTCACACACACACACAAAAAAAACAGCACTCAGTGTAAAAAATATAAAACACAAGTTTTGGAATATTTATGAGTGTATTACATCGTTGAAGCGTTAAAAACCTGATGAAACCTGCAGTTTGGCACTAACTAAAAGACTACAGATCATTTAAAGAGGACATATTGTGCAAAACAGATTATTTTCTTGTTCTTTTGAAATATATGAGTGTTGGCCGTGTGCAAAACTCCATTTGTAGAAACTAAGCTAGAAAAACATGTCATCATGATGTCACAACCATGAGCTCATCAACATAATACTGCCCTCATTTACATATTAAAGGGATAGTTCACCCAAAAATTTAAATTCTGTCATTATTTACTGGTCCTCTTGTCATTCCAAACCTGTATGAGTTTCTTTCAGCTGTTGAACACAAAATAAATTTGGAAAAATGTTAGAATTAAAACTAACATTTGACTGTAGTAGCCATTGACTTCCATATATGGAAAAAATGACTATGGAAGTCAATGGCTACCATCAACTACCACATACTTCAAAATTCTTCTTTTGTCTTCAACAGAAGAAAGAAACTGAAGAAAGAAGGGTTGAACTATCCCTTTAATATGTAAATGTAGGCAGTGGCATCACCAGGTTTTCTGGCCCTCTTGTACAATTTATCACTTCCCCCCCTTAGCAACGTTCCTGCATATTAATACCCATTCGTTATTTAGCAGCTTCGCTATCTTGATAAATGTCAGCATGAATTATGTTAGCACACAGGTTAGCCAGTGATAACAGATGTTATTTCAGAAATCTTAAAAGTTTATTAGCAACAACTAAGTAACTATAATATAATGGTAATACACTATTAACTAGTTGCTTATTAGCATGCATATTACTAGCATATTGGCTGTTTATTAGTACTTAAGCACATAATACCTTATTCTGCATTACCATATTTTAGATGCTTTAATCCTACCCCATACCTAAACTTAAAAACTGCCTTACTAACTATTAATAAGCAGCAAATTAAGAGTTTATTGAAGCAAAAGTTAATAGTTAGTTTACTTTAATAGTTAGTTAACAGTGACCCAAATAATATATACAAAATAAAACTGTAGCATATATTCTCTTTTTCTTTTAATTTTCTTGATTTATGTTCACTTTCCTTTCACCTTCATTCAATTTAGCAGAGTATGCTACACCTCTTGTAAAAGTTGCAAGTCAAATTTCAAACAAATGCCTTGATCTTTTGAGATCAATAAAAGAGCTTGATGTGCACTGAAACTTCCAGAACCTCTCTATCTTTCCAGTCAAAAAAGTGCATTTACTAAACTGAATTTACGTAACTTTCTGATTATGAATGCATCAGCTCAGGTGCGCCCACGTTTATTACGTCAATGAGGCCTACTGGATGATCAAAAACCTGAGGTAACAAGATGAAAGCAGGATGGATAATAGTTTTCCTAAACACCACATAAACCAATGATAACAGTAAAATGTGGGGAAAGTTTGCCAAACCTTGTGCTGCTTCTGGCTGCGTGTATCTCCAGCCTCTCTTTATATTATTCTGAAGGATCCCAGTGTTAGGAAAAAGTGGCTGAAGTTTATTTTTAACAATGTCCCTGATCATTTTAGTATGAACAGTTTGAGCAGCACATTATGTGCAGCAAGATTGGTTTTGTAAACAGGCTGTTACGACAGGTTGCAGGCTGAAAAAGTTATTATATAAAAATCTTTAAAAAATGTATACTATATTCTACAGCCGAGCCAGAGCGCAAATATATTACACACATAATGTGTAAGCCCAAAATACATTACACAAATATACACAGGTGATTTTGCATTTTTTAGTCCATTATTGATATTGATTAATAAATATAAGTGGTTGATTGTTTAGGGATGGTTGGCGTTTGTGAGGCTGTCAGTGTCAGAATGAGCTCCAGTCCACCTCGGCATGAATTGTGAAACTCTCCTGTAATAAAGGCCTTTGTGCACAAACATATCAAATTGTCAGTATTGATTAAGAGCCTGTCACTCTCTCAGCATTGTAGACGAAGGCAAGCAAACAAACACTCATGACCCGTGTTTCATCATGGTATCAGCTCACTTTTTGAAGCGCTTGTCTTGAATCGTTATGAAAACATCACATGTGGTGACTCAATGTTAATTTAAGCTAATTTCAAAGACACAAATAGCCAAACAAATTCCTAAATCTACAAATTTCCTGCAGAAATTAAACATAACAATGTCATTTTAGTGTTTCATTTCCTTCCAAATCACGCAAGACATGCAGTAAAAAGTGTTGACATTTTATTGGCGCAGAGATGAGTGTGTTTATATTCTAAAACATTTGCAACTACTTTTTACCACTGAACTTTTTACCTGCATTTTTTATAATTTTTACAAAAATTGAATGGCCCCCAGAACAATTTGTTGTATGAATATCTGAACATGCAATATGTCAAAAAGAAAGAAAAAAAAAAGATTTCACACATTAACAGGTTTCAAGTCTTCACAAAACACAACAAACCCACCCAGAAACACGTGCTACAAGACACATCACAAATGTAAGCAATATGCATTGTAAAAATCGGCTCAAAATATCAGACACGTTTGATATCTCCAACTGGATGGAATCATAGCCTGATGCTAAAAAATAGAGTCTGTGACCATCGTACACTACATGATTTTCTGTGAAATCTGTCAACTCAAATCTGCAGACTGACTTTGACTTTCAGCAACAAGCATCAACTTGTCTAACCTGTAAATCAGGGCAAAAATCTGGGCGAAAGTCATGTAGTGTATTTCAGCGTTTATCCTGATCTGATCTCTATCCTATGTTTGTGAGCTGTAGATGTTAAATGGCACTCTAATGCACTGTTAACTCTGTTTGCAGGTCTCATTTTTCCTGTTTATTGTGTTTGTGGTGTACACCATGCTGCCGTTCTCCATGAGGGATGCCGTCATCGCTAGTGTCCTCACTTCATCCTCCCACACACTAGTGCTCAGCATCTGGCTCTCGAACACTACCGAGCACATGGAGGCCCTCGTCTGGCAGGTAAGTGTGTGTGTGTCATTCCAGTTGATTTCGTTCACTGAAATTGTGTGGGCTGAGAAAGGAACAGCTAGTATCTAAGAATAAACAGTGACAGTCTTTGAGCACCAGAATGGCACAAAGAGACCAAAGAGTTTGTCCTGTAAAAAAGTTGTCTGAGGCACGAGAATATGTTCGAGAATGTGAGTCAGAGAGAGCGAGTGAATGTGGAAGGATGTTTCTACTCTGTTTCCTGCAGGGGTTGTCAGGGGTGATGGTGTTTCACCATGACCTATATGGCTTTGCTGTCATGGGAGGGCACACTTCCCATAATCCTCCACTGTCAGCCTGGCTGTTTTGTTCATCATATAGCCTTCTCACTTAAATGACACATTTCCTTTCAGAAATAACAGGCAAAATTTCTCCATCCAGTGCAATTCCACAAGGTTAGCTGTTTCAGATCTGTGTCATTGGTCCTGATCTTCTTCTCTTTAAACACTGTAGCATGGAGAATTGGCAGAGGATATATTGGATTAAGTTCATTTATTTTTAAATGTTGTAAGTTTTATGCAGAATGATTTTAAGTGGACTAATGAAATATCAGAACAAGCAGTCAAGTGAAATGGAAAAACATACATGAAAAGGAATGAAACTAAATTTGAACGACTTTGTTATGAAGCGGCAGCAGTTAGCAAACAAACCTAATGCCTCCATGCCACTAGGTGTCAGCATAAAATCTAAGATCAGTGGATAAAGAAGAGCCAACAAAACACAAACTAAAGCTTACTGGCCACTTGAGGCCCTGTGCCAAATCGCACCCTAAACCATTGCGGTCTTCCGCTGAGTCCACACTTTTGTGACGTAATGCCGCTTTGACTGTCGGTTAGAAGTCTGCCGCGGATCTCGCCTCAGTGCGGGCTTAGCAGAAGTGTACATCCTTCTGAAAGCTAAAACGATGAATGGGACACACTACGGTCTTGTGGACTTAACAGTCACGTGCACGCGGTGGCCATTGTAAGAACGCAAGTGCATGTGAAGTGTGCCACATGTGTCAAGTGTGCTTGAGAGTGTTTGAATGCGACAGAAAGTAAGTGTGCAAGACTGTCTCAGGTCTGAAAAATGCCTAAGCTCAGAATTTGAGGAAAACTTTCCTGAAGTGCAGAAATAAATTAGATATTACACATAATTTGGTTGTAGAACATAAAATGTTGCGCATTTAGTGTGTGAATTTTGTAAAACATTTGCAACTGCTTTTTATCACTTTTAGCACTTCTTATTACCAAAGGTACCACAATTAATAAATTGCGTCATCTGTTACATACAGTATGGACCACTAAACATATATTTAGACATGTATTTTAAAGTGCAAAGTAATGAAAATTTAAATAAAGCTCTGTACAACACTAGGTTTTAAAAACTGTTCCCTTTGAAAATGCATTATCTAAGTTCACAAGTGGTCAAGTGTAGTGGGGTGCACAGGGCACAACACTAATGCGGGGTTAGTTGTGGCACACATGGTTTAAATATTTCCACACATGCTAGCATAACAAAATTTACGGTATTTACAAGTTGCCATATCAACACTGTATAGAGAAAAAAGTGCCCCAAAATTCTAAAATCTTTTGAAGATATTGCTGAAAATGTATTTAGCAAAAGTAAATTTCTGGCTGAAGTCAGTTTTTCATCTCAGTTTTTAGTGTTACTTTAAAATGAGACAAATCCATATATTTGTACTGGACAAGTGCGAAATTAATGTGGAAAAAATATACTGTGAACTCCATGTGGATTTACACAAACTAAGAAAGTCAAAAAGTGTTAGGTTGTGCCCCTCTCTTCCCTACTAATCATTTCAAAGCAGCTTCACAGTAATAAAAAGGAAGGTAGCAGAATCAGTGATGCTAATTTTATCAATTATGAGACAAATTCAAAACTAAGGGTCGGATTTGCTAAACAGGGCAAATTAGTGTGAGAGTGCAATCTCATAAATGCACCGATGGGAGTGGAACGTTCTGTGGTTGATCTACTGACAATGAGCAAATTAAAGAACTTCCATAATGAACAATGCAATCTACCAAGAGCAGAAGAGTAGGGTTGCAAAAAAGCAGAGCCAATAGCTTCCATCCAAAGTTACGAATTAAACTTATTCACAGAATTGGAATATTGCATAAAACATTTGCAAATAAAGCACCGTTTCCATTCAGTGAGTTGAAGAGAACAAAATCATCACTTCCTGATTAACTTTCTCTAAATATCATGAAGAAAAAAATAATTTGCTGCAGTAGGAGAAGGCACTATATAAAATAATTTTTACATACAATAAATTACAAGCTTCAGAGCATGCAGACGAAACGTGGTCATGTTATCTTATTTTCGGAGCCTGCTGTTTGGGAACGCAGTTCTGGGAGTTAATTATAACAAAAAACTTTGACAAGACTTTGCTCAAGCATTTTAGAATGACAAAACTAGCATTTCAGATGCTGTTCAATGAGATCGGTCCATTGGTTGGTCCAGTTTTATGCTGTTCCATTGCAAAGTTACATGTCTTTTTTTTATGCGCATTAAGGAATTTATTCGGTAAAAGTGTTTCCATCATAGTTCATGCGCACATTTTTAGAATTTATGCGCATCTTGGCATTTCCATCCAGCATTTTTTTATGCAATATCCCAAAATGTGCATAAAAATATAGGTGGATGGAAACCTAGCTAATGATAATGGTGCATGTAATCTACTAACAACACAGAAGCAAAATGGATTAAGACATGCTTTTTTGGGGGGCGTTAAATAATGACGCAAATACCAGTAAAATTCAAGGATTCGAGGATTTAAAGCATTTATTGTCATGTGCACAGTGAGGAAAAGTTTCCCTGTACAATGAAATTCTTTCTTTGCTGTCCACAGTGAATGCCAAGACAAGTGCAAAAATAAACACACACACACATACATAAAAACAAACATAATAAAAATAAAACTATGCTGCAGAAGTAGAAATATAGACTATGTAAATATCGAAATATAGACTATGTGCATCTGTATGTGCGAGTGTGCAATATTGACGTGCAAAACAATAGTACAGTAACGTAGCAAATTGAGTGCAACTACATGATAATAATAGCAGCAGTAACATTAATAATGTGCAAATTGGGATAAAGCAACTTGATAAAAAATAGTAGCAGTAACAGTTAAATAGTAACAGTTAAATAACCAACGCAAACCTTAGTAAATCACTTTGCATGATTTATTTTAATACTCTCCTCCCATAAATTTTGCGTTTGAAATGGAAGCTGCTACAACTGCTTACGCAAAAGGGTCAGCTGCAAAAATGACGGTCCACGTCTTTTGATTGCTAATGTTTCACTGCATGTCTTTAGGAAATCCAGATTTGTTATTTTAAACCCATTTTTAATGCAATAAAATTATATTGTACTGAGGGTATTTTTCCAAAATGTCTCGTGGGGCAAATAGGGACACAAATGTTAACTGTTGTAAGACTTTTTATTAATTACCAAATTAATTTATTCATTTTATTAAAGACAATTTATTAATTAACAAATCTGCTGCCAAAATTATATTATGATATACTGTATATTTATATATATATATTTTTTACTTTACCCTTTAACATTTTTTCCTGTTTCATATATTATTTTGTGCTTCATAATTATTACACTGTTTAATTTCTGCTGAAATACTAATGAATAACCAACTTTATTTCTCTAGCATTTCATATATATATATATATATATATATATAAAATAAAATAAAACGCAGTGTTTTCTCAAATCAATAAACAGCAGGTTCCAATTGTGACAACTTGCTTCATGTAGCATGACTGCATAATCTGCTGTTGGAGCTCATTTGCATGTTGTCACAAAAGGTCAGTGTGTGTTGATTAATTATACCTTTCTTTCCTGGGCAATAACGGTGAAAATGTTGAATAGCTTTTTTCTAGTCAAAACTATAAGGTATGTGCCTATGCAAAAACTGACCTTTAAATATAAAACATTCCTGAGAAATATTCACTGGAGTAAAAGGAGTGACAACTTGCCCCAGTCTCGCCTATATATAAATACATAAAGTTGACAGGTACACCGAGTGCACTTCCATGCACTGCTTTTTGTTCAGTTTGCTGTACTAAAGAGTCTTACATAACTCTTAAATAATAATTCATACCTACCTTTCTATCGATTTTCCAGAACCTTTTTTTTTATTATTTTCCTAAGCAGATCTCAAGCGGATGTGTTTTTCAGACACAGCGCATGTAACCAAGGCAACACTCTAGTCACATGGTCCACAGGAACACAAAAATACTGGCTGTCAGATTGTGTTTCGAGAGGCAGCAGCATTACGTTCAAGAACCCAGTAGCGGAAGGGCGTAGATTGTTATTATAAGCTTGTTGTCAAGTCCAATTTAAAAACCTTAAAAATAATCCTCTTTAGGTTCTGTAAACACTTTCACCACGGTCAGCCTCCAACAGTAGGAGAGCTTCATTAAAACCAACCTTAACGACCCTTCACATTCAGCACTGGTGGTTAATCAAGCTTTCCTCGCTCTCAGAGGCGTTACGACCTCTTTATGTTAGGTGCTCTCCATGAGCTGCGGGTCATACTTTGTTTGTTAGAGGCTTTAAAGGCTTTGGACGTCACTTTCAGGACGTTTACCGCTGACGTACTCTGCAAACGAAGGTCTCGTGTTAATCGGAGGCTAAAAAAATAACAAAGTTGAAAACAAGGTCACATCTGTCTGGGTCGGAGTTGTAGAGATGATGTCAGATGCCAGTGTTTTGTAATTAAGCTATGGTTCCCTGCAGACCCAGCTCTGTGCTCGTTTACCTTTATGACTGGCCTCTTCCTCCTTGCTCAGTGATTACAGCCAGAAGAATGACTTATTAAGGCCGCTCTCGAAGGACCTGTCCTATAAAGCTCTCCCAGTGAGATACAGGTGTGTCTCATGCAGGTGGACCAGCCCTTAAATAGCATATGCTTGAAGAGAGAGAGAGAGAGAAAGAGAGAGAGGAGAGAAGAGAAGAGAAGAGAAGAGAAGAGAAGAGAAGAGAAGAGAAGAGAAGACAGGCTGCATTAGGTTAATATCACTTGTGAGCAGAATATGTTGCTGTGCCATTTCCAAACAAGCTGTAAGTTTCAAATTATCAAATTATGCAAAAGGTGTGAAAATATAATTTCATTGTGTCAGAGGATATCAGACATGTTGTATACATGAAATGTTGTAATGTCATTTTCATCACAGGCTATTTAACCCAATTCAACTTTAGTTTAGATAGACAGACAGAGTTTCAAGGCAAACAGAACTTCTCATTAATTAATATTCGATTGGTCTTGATCAATTTCTGGAAGCCAAACAATGTACCTTGAGATGCTGAGGGGTCGTTGAGGAGCTCTTTGTTGACTGTGTACCTTATTGATGAAGAGTGTTGTGTAATTGCCTGCAGTGGATGATGTTTAATCTGCTAATAATGTCATTGAGTGATATTAGCAGGAGGTTGTAGTCTAATTAAAATGACAGAGGCCTTTGCACAGTCTGGGGTGAACCTTAACAACCCCGTCTGTTCTTACTGGCTGTGTTTACTCCACCGCTCAACTCAGATGCGTGTATGGAGGTTGCCATGGAGAAGCTGCGAATTTGATGAGTCTGAAAGAGGCTCAGACGAGATTGACCACATAAATGGGGCAAATTAAAGAAATGTTCCTAGCTCAGCAAATTATGGTTTATTGACAGCATTTCTGGTATACTGTTGATTACAGTACAACAGAAAATGAGTTTGATTCGTCCCTCAGTCCACCTTATAAAAAAATTACAGGAGTAAAACACTAATTACGTATGCCGAGTAAAAAAATAAATAAAAATTACAATACTCGTTTTTTTGTGGTTTTCTCCACAACATCACAAGCAAGCTACCATACCCCAAATTCATATTTATGAGCTAATAGTGTTGATTTAAACTCATTTACTATGTAGGTGAATTATCAAGAACCTGTCTGAATTATATTTCATTTAAAAATAATACATATTGACATTATAAAATAAATGTCATTGTACTTAGAAAATATAACCTATTTCATTTTTTATTTATTTAAATTATAAAAATATAATTAAATGATATATTTACATCATGCCAAAATTCAATTTTACTCAAAATGAAGCCTGTTTTGAAATTATTATTTTTTTGTTTATATATTTATTCATTTATTTAAATGTAAAAAAATAAATGATATATTTACAATCAAGCCAAGATTAAATTTTACTTAATAAAAAAACATGTTTTATATTTATTTGTTTATTTCTTTATATTTTTATTATTTTATTTGAATTTTAAAATATAATTAAATGATATATTTACATTAAGCCAAGAATACATTTGACTTAAAATAGAAGCTTTTTATATTTATTTATTTATTTGTTTATATATTTATTCATTCATTTGAATTATAAAATGTAATTAAATGATACAGTGCATCCGGAAACTCACTTTTTCCACATTTTGATATGTTACAGCCTTATTCCAAAATGGATTAAATTCATTATTTTCCTCAAAATTCTACAAACAATACCCCATAATGACAACATGAAAGAGGTTTGTTTGAAATCTTTGCAAATGTATTAAAAATAAAAAATGAAAAAAAAATCACATGTACATAAGTGTTCTCAGCCTTTGCTCAATACTTTGTTGAAACACCTTCGGCACCAATTACAGCCTCAAATCTTTTTGGGTATGATGCGGCAAGCTTTGATCATCATCATTTGGCAATTCATTGGCAATTGAATACTTTCCGGACGCACTGTATATTTAAATCAAGCCAAGATTAAATTTTACTTAAAAAAGAAAACTGTTTTATATGTATTCATTTATTTGTTTGATTATTTCTTTATATTTTGTTTCACTTTTAAAATATAATTAAATGATATATTTATATTAAGCCAAAATTAAATATCACTTTAAAAATTAAACCTGATTTATATTTATTTATTCATTTATATATTTAACTTATAAAATTATAATTAACTTATATATTTACATGATGCCAACAAAAAAAAAATGCGTACAGAAAATAAAGCCCTTTTTAATTTATTTATTTAAATTATAAAAATCTATTTAAACTATATCTTTACATCATGGTATTCTTGATAACCTTCTTGAACATTCCAGGCATGCACCAATATTCATGAGCCAAATCTTCATTATTGGAGGGTTTGTCATTTCTCATGCCTTATTGTGTCTACACAATTGTGTCTAGTTTCAGTTATTGCAATTAAACCCAATTATCCAACACATCCTGCTCTCCATTTGTGAAAGATAACAGCACCGTATTCAGTACTGCGCTGATATTTGCTTAGTCTGACATAATGCATGAGGCTGCTGAAAGCTTTTCATGGGCTGGACTGAATTCACTTTTCCTGAAGATCAATATCTTTTGAATCAATGTAGAGGCACATCCCTCTCTGGATCCTTATACTGATTCCATCTTTCGCTAATGCACTTACCTTAGCCATTTGAAACTCAGTCAAAAGCCATTTGGCTTGCTGTGCATATTTTCCTGAAGTGTCTGTGGTCTGGCACTAATGTCTTCCTGTACTTACCAGGCAATTTGTGCATTCATTACTTGTTTTATACCGTATGCCAATGATGTATTTATTACATTCTGAGTCTCCACATTAATTCAGTACTAAATATATAACATATCCTTTATCAGACTGATAATTTATAAACACTTGCTTGAAATTAAGGTTTCTGAGAACTTTATTACTGAAATAAATTTTGTTATTAATTTCCCCCTGAAATCAAAAGAAATGTAATATATATTTATATACAATTGTATTTTACAATATACATAAATTGTATTTTGCTTAAAGAAAATGAAGTGTATTTTAAGATATCATTTTAGGATTTATTGCATTGTTATATTATTTTCATGACAAATTTATCACATCCCCCCTTTTATCACTGTAATATCTAAATATTATTGAAATTATTTATTTAAACAATAACATATTTGACACAATATGATAACAGTTCACATTATGTGATAATTTTGCAGAGAAATGTTATTGTGGTCACCTTTTCTGGTCAACTTATGATATATAGATCACAATAACACTGATAATGTTGATATATAATATTAATGTGAAAAACATTGTATATCATAATCTATCTATCATAAATCAACCACAAAAAATTGAAAAGTTTGTGTGTGTGTGTGTGTGTGTGTGTGTGTGTATATACACAATAAATATTTATATATACACACTACAGTAAAAACAGTAATACTTTGAAAAATTATTAAAATTTAGAACTACATCATATTTGAACTCAAACAGACGTACCACGACACCTGCAACTGCATCAAGTCTCCCATCAAACTGGAATTCGAGAAACATCAGCAGGTACGACCGAGAGGGATGCACTGATTGCCTGTTGCTTTCAAAGAACGGATAAACAGCACTGAACTGCGTGGTGCCTGGTCCTTCAGGGAACAGGAAGTTAATGTAGGCCTCGTTTGGGGAGGTATCGGATAGGCTTGAGCGTGAGTCATTCCTGCAGCTGTATCGAAGAGATCATTATATCACCACAATAGGCGGCTAATATCCGAAGGCGGAGGGGGTCGAGAGTTGCATTGTCCCAAAATAGCTTTGTTTCCCCCCAGCGCTCTGTTTCCTGTTGGATACGGGTGGGGCGGAAGTCTGTTCAAGGCCTCTCGCTTGCCTGGGTTAGTTGTGCTTATTGCTGTTTTGTGTGAAATAATGATAAAGTGTCTCTCCGTGGTGATGGCTGAGTGAGTGAAATATGAGCGGTGAGATAAAGGCAGATCACTGGCGGCACTCCTGCTCCATCAGGAATTATCACTCTCACTTGGTGAAATATCATCCTGCTCCAGCACATGCCTCCGGCTCCATTACTATAGAGAATGTTATCAGAGTTGGGGGTTTTTTTTGGCTTTCCTGGCAGAACAATTACAGAGCACAAGGCAAAGACAATGTTTCGCTCACTCACTGCCCGGCGTGATTGAATCGTGTATGTATGTTCTGTGAGTGCTTCAGCTGTCAGCTCTTGCCATATTGTAGAACATACTGGCACGTTTCCTTTACCTCATTTACCTCCTGCAGAGCTGCGCACTGGCTGGTCATTCCAATATAGGGCTGGGCGATATGACGATATTATCGTATATCGACGATGTCTCGTAAGTATCGTGATGTCGATGTCAACAGTCAGGTAACAGACAATTATCGACACTATCAGAAAAAAAATGGCAAATGATAAACCTAGTAAGTTGCAAAAAAAATATTTTACATAGCCCCATAGTCACCATACTGGTCTTTTTGCATGCAAGAATGAAATAATTTATTAGGAGGGTTAGGAATCGAAAAGCTATTCCAATTTCGGAAATCAGATCAGATGCGTAAGTTCAGGAATCAAATTACTTGTTACAAAATTACATTTCGATTCTGCTTCTCGATTTATGTATGTGCATTTATTGTGATTTCAAAAGATTCAACTGCAAATAGAACAGCACTGAACGACGAAATAGAACTCGCTTCTGCACTCGCGCTCTGTTTTCTGTGCTGCGCACACACACACAAAGGTCGCACACAAAAGCCGTCTCTTAAATACGCGAACACTGGACTGAGCTCTCTTTCTCGCATTCTTACACATTTGAATGGACAAATACACACAGAATTATATCAAAATATCCCATAAATACAATCGGTTATGTCTTAAGTGAACGTAAAGAGTTGAGAAAGAAAACAAGGGTTTATTGGATCCGTGCATTGACAGCAGCCGCTGCCGTCAGTCATATAATTTATCCTTATTTAGGGTATTGGCCTATTCTATTTTGATCTGCAGTTTAATAAAAGTTAAACAGAAAAAAGACAAAAAGTGCACTGCATGTGTTTCTGAATATTTATTTAAACAGACTGTATAATGATGAAAAACCACAAACTTGACAGGTATAATAAAAATATGCAAATTACTTCAGCGCACATTTCAGTGCAATATTTCTACAGATTTTTTAAAGGGGTCATATGATGTTGCTAAAAAGAACATTATTTTGTGTATTTGGTGTAATGAAATGTGTTTATGCGGTTTAAGGTTCAAAAAACACATTATTTTCCACATACTGTACATTATTGTTTCTTCTCTATGCCCCGCCTTTCTGAAACACGTCGATTTTTACAAAGCTCATCGGTCAGAAAA